TGAGAAGTAGTATATGATAATGCTACGCTTATATAGTCCCTCATTTATTTTGGATTCTGATTATACCCCGAAGATCCCTGTTTGAGCTGTGATCCCTACTGTGCAAAGTGCTGCTCAAGAAGACATAAAGTCAGCGAGATACAGAAGCCCTAGCTGAGGGATTACAGATGATTTGTGGACAAAACAAAGCAATGAACTTAAGATATAGCGGCAGGAAACATTGGAAAGAAAAATAAAGTAGATCTCCAGCAGTGAAATCCTGGCTCCTTTCAAGTCAGTGGAGATTTTGCCCAATAATGAAACTAAAATTTCTCCTTTCCTGGTTTTTTTTTCCTTCTCCCATCCCTCCACACTTGTGCTTGCTGCAAGGGACAAACCAAATGGGCACCACCCAGGGACTTTTTGAGGAAAGATGGGTTTGGGAGGGGAGCAGTGAAGGTGGAAGGGAGAGAACAAGGAGGTGAAGTCACTGGAAAGGGCAGGCAGATGAAAGGCAGCAGCAGAGGTTAAGTACTGGCAGAGCCAATGGCTGGAAGAAACTGCAGCTCTGTGCTCGACAGAAAGCAGGGTGGCCACTGAAAAGCACCCAAGAAACGCCCTTGATGTTCAAAGCTGTTTCCAAGCTCAAGTTCACAACTGCAGGTTGAAGCTGCTCTTCTGACAGGAATATCACCAGGAAGGCCAAGCTATGATGCCAAAACCTCTCCTTGGTATTCCTACCCAAAGGGTAACTCGCCCAGTGTCCCGCCAGGCAAATGGAGATATCTTAATGCCTGTGGGTAGAAAATTTTTGCCACTGACTTTGAGAAAGATGGCACCATGCCACCGAAAACCACGTCCCTGGGACCCATTCTCCTGCAGAGGGACAGAGGGCAGTTCCTGCCTGTAGGGTCTAGAATGAAGAGAATCCTTCAAGGTGTCAGCTTGACAGTCTCTCATGAACGGACCATCCATTTCCCAGCAATGGTATTTTGCTACATATCCATATAGGACAATAGAAGGTTACTGTGGATATGCCTATACTGAGTGATGAGAGGTCTGGGAAGTTCACAAGTGATTATGGACTTTTCAAACTGACAACCTAATGGTTTCCAAAAGGCTCCTCACTGTGGCTACAGATGTACCTTAAACAACGCCGTAAATTGCATTGCTCAAATGAGGGTAGGCACGTGCTTCTCTGTCAGCAAGTTATGCAGGAGAGTAAAAACTAATCAGCACTTAGGAAAACTGTTGTCTCACTGACATTTGCACAATTTCTCCATAAGCTGCCAATGAACATCCATCACACTGGCGGTACACTGTCTCCTCAAGTTTACATAAGCTGCTGTCTGGGAACATTCATTTAAAACACAACTATGTGTACTTAGAATAACCGAGAGCGCTCTCTGAGCTGTTATTTGCTTGTTTTCTCTGTCTGGGAAGAAAAGGGAGGGTTAACAACCTCCCTGAAAGATCTTTGCTAGTACAGGCGAGCACAGAGCACCCGGGACTTAGACCGTAACCTCCAGGACTGAAATCAAAGCACCGCTGATATGTGGGAGAAAAAGCAAGCTGCTAAGTGACCCCAAGGGTCCCCACCAGATCTGTCTGGAGAAAACAGAGGCTGCCTGAGACTTGCAGCATCCTTCACACCTTCCCTGCAGCCACCGCAGCTGCCCATCACCCCGCGTTTGCCTCCAAGAGGGACTGGAGGAGACCCCAGAGACCAGATTCACTGCTTGACAAGGAGAGAAGCAGAAAATGAGGTTGGGAAAGAGATAGAGGGATCCCAGTAAAAGCCACCAGACCTCCCCTTTCTCCTGCATCCTGCTCCATAGGAGTCAAAATCCTGAACACCAGGCAGCAACCTACGTATTAAACGTGTTTGAGGCAGATCTTGAGTCTCATTAGGGAGACCACGCTGAGCTTTTCTGCGAGAGGTTCCAGGTGGAAGCCTCTGCCGAAGCTGGGGATGAGTCCCAGGTAAACCATGGGGATGAGGCAGGCTCCATATGGGCAGCTGGGGCTCGAAACCCACAAAGATCTCCCAGGACCCATAACAGAGCTATGAACATGCTACGTGGGGTTACTAAACCATCTGTCAGGGACGCAACGTTTTACAAAAGGGATACAAGAAAAACTACTAATGAGTTTAGATCTCCAATTGAACTTCAGTTCAGCATTTCATTTGTACATGTTAACGACTTAGGGGCATAAGCATAAACATTTGGACAGCTGCCTATGCTAGATGGCTTGTTGTCATGTTTATATTTTGTGCTTATGATTGTTATGAGTAAAAAAAAAATGTCAGAGGGACAAGATGAGTTCTCTAGAAGAAAGCTAAATATTCAAGAAATGGGTCTTTATAACTACCCCTTTATCCTGAGATAGTCACAGTTACTGCCAGCGGTAAGGAAAAAAAATAAAAAGAATAAATCACATTTGGATTTCTCACCCTAAACCTAAAGAGAAACCTAGAAACAAGACAGGGAAATTCTCCCAAATGGAAACTTTTCACAGATTTTGATATCCTAGAGAAAAAAAAAAAATCCTAATTTGAGAAAGATCAGGCAGTTGAAGTTTCTACAAGATGAGTCAGCCCTGGTACTGCTACTAGGGCGAGTATGAATGTTTGTGTGCACACTCACAGACACACACTTGAAAAAGATCTTTAAATGGAGGCTAATTTCGGCTGTAGCCAAGCAGTGACCAGCACTTCTATGGAGGATGATTTGGAACCTACCTATTAGCAGAAGTAAATCAAACGGGTAAAAGGGTTACGAGCCCACATAAACCAGTGCCTCTGTTCCCATTGAAAGCAGTCTGATTTTGAGTCAGAGCCACTGGAGAAAGCCTCTCCTCTTTGGCAAAGACAGGCTTCAGCATGTGTGGAATGGACTTGAGAAAATTTTCAGACCTTTTAAGTTCAACAGGACGAGGGAAGAGGGGAGCTCAGAGCCTACAAAACCTATGGACTGCTCAGAATTTCTTCTGTGGAGACAGCAGATAAAATCTGTGTTCAGCTGAAGCAAACAGTAAAATGCTCGAATGCTTCAGCGAAGTCAAGATTTCACTTCATAGCAGCAGTTTCCTGCATTCTGAAGTTCTGTCTTTCCTACAGCATTTATAAACTCCTAGTTCATGGGTGCTCCTTGTTTTTCCCCAAAACACCCCTAGAAGTGCACAGTAATCTTCTATTGCCCAAATCCACTAGTGTTTCACTATTCTAGGTAAACACACAGATTTCAAAAAAATCCATTTCTGCCTTATTCCACAAGGTACCGAGCTCTCAGCAAAACAGAGATCCAGGTCGAAAGCTCGACTGAATGAACTCTGAAGGTTCTCACATTAGTCCTGCACTTAAGGTTACCATGCACAAGCGTGGCATGCCACCATCTACTCTGTTTCCCAGAGGGTACTGGAACTTTGCTTTCCACTCAATACCCCACAGTTTTTGGACACAGCAAACAATGAGCCAGATTGCTCTTACTCCCTCTAGTAGCCTTTCTCCCCTAAATTCCATTTCTCTGTCCTTTAATCCATTATCAGGGTGCAATTATTTCTTTCAAGAAAAGTGATTGGTACTTTTGTATTTGATTCACATGCAAAAGACACTTTAATGAGAAGATCCATCTCATTATTCTCCCACTGAAATCTCTCCAAAAAAGAGTCCTTGTTAACTTTTATGTAAGAACCTGGCCATGCGGCAAAATTACACCTGTGTGGGACACTTTGACCTGGACAACACAGCGGTCAGCATGGGACCACTGAAGCATGACTGTGGGCTGAAGTTGGGTTAGGCCTTCCTATGGCAAGAAGAAACTGTTACTTAAGCATTTCACAAAATCAGCATCTTCACATTCCTCAGCAAAGCAGGGAACAGGTTGATCAGGATGGCCCTCAAGGAGACGTTCCTCATATATTTGTTTTGCCTTGTGACCATGACGTTAAACCAACTTGCCCATACTGAGTGATTGCAGTTACAGATGGACAGAAAAAGATGAACGTGTACCATACATGACAGAAGAAAGGAGTTACATACTACCTTCACTGAAAAGGACAGTATCTTGGAAGAAGGAAATTGTGATCTATGTTACCGAGAACTTGTGAAGTACACAGACCTATATAGAAGTATTTTCATTGTCAGAAAAGAAAATAAATTGGCAAGTGCATAATGAGATTGGGCATACAGCCACAAAGAGTTATATGCTGTCATTAATTACGGAGGTATGAATCTTAAAGCCATATGACCTGGGAGAACAAACTCGAGCACACCGATTGCCTTTGCAGACCCTGTTCTTCATTGTGAAATGCTATTTTCCTTAGCAGAATTGAAAACATGCAATCAAACTCATTAGAATGAAAGATGCAGGTTGTGTAAAGGGTAATGGTTTTTGAAAATCTGGTCTTATTTTTAAGATATATTCCAGAAGGATTTCTTTACAACATTCCTTATAGGAACTCAACCATTATAATTAAACCCCATACTTCTCATTACTTGAGATGGCCACCTGCCTAGAAATTAATCTTCTGCCATTCTAGACAGCCTTCTCAGAGTTGAAATGAAGATATTAAATATAGTGTGCAATCTACTTATTTGCATTCTCATACAGTTGTCAGTTGTGAGCAACAACTCTCAGTACCATGCCACCAATTTTTGCTATCCAGATTGGAAAAGGGCTTCTTAAAAAGCACTCAGTATTGTTTCACCACCATTTTTACTGACACCATTGGTAGTCCAACATGATTCGCGCTATGAGCAAAGAAGGAGTGTGTCCAGATTCAGAGGGCTGGCATTTCACACAGGGCCATTTGTCTGACCACGGGCCTTCACCTGGTGCACGTGAGGGAGGAGGTGGCAGCTTTCATGTTAGCCAGACCTGTACTGAAGCTAAAAGGGTTCTTAAGCTCTAGCACCAATTAACAGCAGTGAGAAAATACCAAGTGCCTTTCAGAGTCCCCAATAGAAATAAAATACCTATAGCACACTAACATGAAATACTGAAGAAAGGGTTTCATACCTTAAATTCCTCCAAGATTTTGTAACTTTTCCCATGGTATTCACAAAAGTTTTTCACTTCTTTGCATTCTGGACAGCATCCATTGTGTTCCACTTTTGTACACTTTGGGTGGATTTTAGGGCATTCTGGTTGATCGCAAACAGGTCCATCCTCAGTACAGACACAAGGACAGTTGGAATGTCCCGGGAAAAAACGTTCTCCCAATTTGTACACAAAGCCACTGTCATCCACACAGCCCTTCCCTCGGTAGTCATCAAAGATCAGATTGTCATTACTGGAGGTCTGGTCCCCTTCATCGGCAGGGTAGTCTTCATGATTGATGGCAGCTGGAGCAACCAAAGCAGGGATTACAAACAGAAGTATGCAGGCTTCATGGATACGAAGAGCCATCCCCCTCCTCAGCTTCTCCATGGGGTCTCAATGCCAGATAGAAACAGCTGCTTCCATAGGGAGACCAGTGTTGTCTGAAAACAAGTATTTTTAAGTGAGAACAAACCCAAAATTCTAAGGAATATTGACTTATAAAGGCTACACTTTCAGCCAGCACCCAAGAATAAATCAGTGCTTTCGAACCGCACAGATAACTATCACCGTTTCATTTCAATTAAGCCTCTTCTCAATTATTGTTAAAGAGAATAAAGCACAGGAAATACATAAATTAGACATGTGCCTGTAAGCGTATGCCCACAAAATACCTCTAGAGAAACAGTGGCTCACAGAATCACCTAATTTTTACTTTACTTATTCATGCAGTTGAGTTTTCCGATGCACCAGAAGTTAAACTAGCTGCCTGAAATCACGTGGTGATGGGCAGCTCAGAGGACCTGAACCCAAGTTTAAGCATGGCCTTAACCTCTTCCTGTAGCCACTGTCCCCCCACACCAGCTACGGTGCACAGCCCACTTCATTAAACTGAGGTGGGAAACCTGAGTTGAAAAACAAGACGAGGATAATCTGTAGGTAGATCTGCATCCAGTAAGAAAGGTGGTGCTGGGTTATACTTGGTCTGCGAGAGGTGGAGTGGTACAGAATTTTTTACATGGCATTTCTGATGAGGAAGAGGGACTACCTGGGCTACCAACACAGCCCAGCTGGCGGCAGGTCCGTATAATCCTGACAGAAGCAAAGATGTAATTCATCTTCTCCATTATTCAGCATTTCAGTAATTCCCAGAGAGAAACACAGACAGCAGGATGTTAAATGCCTGTGTAATGCACAGAGCCGCTGAAATGGGCTTGTCTGATTAAGCTGGAGCCTTTCTAAAACTTTGGGAGCGATGCAGCATGGCCCAACCTTTGGAGAACTCTGCTTAAGCAGCTGAGCCGAGGACTGACCCAGAGAGGGAGAGGAGCTTTGCGCTGCTCCCAGTGGAAGCCAGTAACAGGCGAAGGCTCCGTGTGCGTGTCCATGTCCCGGGGGTGCCACTGGCAGCAGCAAAATGGTTTCTGACCTCTCTGAAGAGAACTGGGCAAAGTGTTAACAGGAAACTTTTAAATGAGATGAAATATTAGCATCGCATGGATGGAGAATGATGGAGGTAGCTGCTGGCACACACAAAAAAATGGACTGTTGGGCTCTGTGTGTGTGTGTGTGTGTGTGTGTGTCATTCCTCCTTGTCCTCCGTTCCCACAGTGTGCACACAGATACACACTGTGTGTACAAACATGCATTAACCTACACGCACAGGCAAACACATTACCCCCCCTCACACCCCTACAGAAGGTATTTTTTTAATGTATTGCGATTTTTGGTGGACTGCAGATGTTCAGCAATTAATTCTCCCTTAGTTGAAGCAAAAAAAAGCAGCAGAAGGAGGAGAAAGCTTTAATCCTAGAGAAGCAGCTAAAGGGATCCTGTTGACAAAGCAGTTTTTCCAAAGCCACAACAGAGGGAGACACCGGATATTACACAAGCTTTATCAAATTCAAAAGGTATCTTCTTAATTGAACTACTAGCTACGTTCCCATCACAAGGACCATGCACCGTGTTACTACTATCAGCAACACCTATTGTAACATGCTGTTTGGGAACCGGGTGATTCATGCAGATAGGGCTGCTTTACGCAGCCACAGAGCAGAGAATCGTGCCCCCCCCTAAATGCTACAGGTAGGTTGCAATATTGCAGATCGGTGGGCATTTAAAGGAAGAAAATAAACAAACAAACAGCAGAAGCAAATGAAGTCATTCACGTCCGAGGAAATGTGGAACAATCAAGAGAATGTGTCAAAGTTTGAGAAGAAAGCCCTCCAAAAAAAAAAAAAAAAGTTCTCCAAATATCATAAATACGACCACTACATTTTGCTACCGTCTGTAGCCATCCGAGGTGTCCCACAGCAACTCCCGGGCACCCGGCTCAGCGGCGATCCTGGAAATCAGGCAGACTGCAGACGTCTTGCACGGTCAGATTTCAACAAGTAAACAAATGCTGCTGGGCTCGGAATGAGTTTACAGCTGAACTTTCTCATCATTTCTCATCGTGAGAGAGGCCAGGATCGCAGGTGATTCTCCGGGTAAAACATTGCCATCCGCCTTCCCTCACCCCAAGTGAACAATTTACACTTACCTAATCAGGCTGGATCTGAAAGCCGAAAGGGGTCACAGGCCAACATGGACTAAAAGGTTAGGAACAGAGCAGCGAAAGCAGTTCCTCCTAATCACATTTTCAGTGTTGACTCACGGACGATCCCTTTTCCTCCACCCTCCCATCGCAAAACACGGGAAAGCGGCAGCCCAGCAGCCACACCATGAGAATTGCGCGTTCACCCAGCGCCGGGGACTCAAAGCCAGCAGCGGCGAGGCGGTCCGGAGGCAGGGATGCCGCGGAGAAACCCCGGTGCCAGCAGCGCAGTCATCGCGGCGAACTTGGGCTGGATTTCCTCAGGTCTCGGGGCGGGGGGAGAGAAGAAAGGGGAAAAAAAACAAAATCCCGCCCGCAGCATCCCCTCCCCGTGCCCAGCGGGTCTCCTGCGGCTCAGGATCTGCCTCGGCGGGGGAAAGGGGGGAGCGGGGGCTGGCTGGGCTGCCGGCAGGTGGGAGCGGGAGGGCGGA